GACGGTTGGAATTCAAAACAACTTCATACAATTGTCAAACACAATAAGGGGAAGTGCAGTGCACAGGAACCATAAATCTATCTAAAGTAATTACAGAGTTATTGCCCTTTGTTACTTTTCAATTGAATTTTTTTTGTCCAGACCATAACTTGAAGACTAATGGTTGGAATTCAATATAACTGCATACAATGGTCAAGCACATTGAGAGGGAAGTGCAGTGCATAAGAACCATAACTCTATCGTGACTAATTACAGAGTTATTGCCCTTTGTTACTTTTCCTTGTCTGGGCATAACTTGAAAACTACTGGTTGGAATTCAAAACAACTTCATACAATTGTCAAACACAATAAGGGGAAGTGCAGTGCACAAGAACCATAACTCTATCTAAAGTAATTACAGAATTATTGCCCTTTGTTGCTTTTCCATTGCCTTTTTTGTCCAGACCATAACTTGAAGACTAAATGGTTGGAATTCAATATAACTTCATACAGTGGTCAAGCACATTGAGAGAAAGTGCAGTGCACAAGAACCATAACTCCATCTTGACTAATTACAGAGTTATTGCCTTTTGTTACTTTTCCTTGTCCAGAGCATAACTGGAAAACTACTGTTTTGAATTCAATATACAACTTCATACAGTTGTCGAGGACATTAAAAGGAAGTGCAGTGCACAAAGAGCCATAAACTCCATTTGACAAAATACAGAGTTACTGCCCTTTGATGGTTTTCCTTGTCAGGAGCATAACTTAAAACCTACTGGTTGGAATTCAAAAATAACTTCATACAATGGTCAAGCACAATAAGAGGAAGTGCAGTGCACAAGAACTATAACTCTATCTTCAAGTATTTATAGAGTTATTGACCCTTTGTTCCTTTTCTTTGTCTTTCTGGACTTATTACAGAGTAATTCAATTAAACTTCATCAATGGCCAACCACATTGAAAGGAAATGCAACATATAAGAACCACAATTATCTTTAATTGCCCACAACCATAACTCTATATTTCAATTCTTTTACAAGGTATTCTATTACTAGTAACATCCTCATTTCCGAAGCAGCCTTGTGGGGGTATTAATCACATTTAGTGATAGTTCTAGTTTTTACTTGTTCTTGTCCACAAAGTAGGAAAAGCGCGTGTTCTCTTTTAGCGGGTCTTCCAGGGCACCTGTTCTGGGAAACGTGGGGTTTTTCACAGGAAAAACTAATTTAAGTTTAAATATTATGTCGCTGAGGTGGAAGACATATCTTGTTAATAAATGTATTTATTTGCTAGAAATAAAAAGATAAACCATTTTTAAGTGTGCTTTTTATAAGAATTTTGTTTATATTTGAAAATATTTCATTTTGTATCTTAATATTTTGTTTAGTATGCCCTGTTGAGAGCCCCATTAGAAAGGATGCTGGTACCGATGACGTAAAGTCGCGCGTGTAAGCATACAATAAACGTGTGTAAACACTTGTGCAGTGTAGATCTAAATAGAATCTATAAATAATTAGCGATAACATTTCAATTTATCATGTCCGACAACGGCAACAAACGAAAGAGAGGAGCTTATGGTAAAAAAAAGCAACAAACAAAAACAATGAAGATATTAAAACGCCACCTTCAAAACAAGAAACGTCGGGAGTATACTAGTATTGACAGAGTAGAGTCGGAGTATTCTCATTGTAGAAATAATTTGAACGAACATGGGTTAATACAGGTAAGTGTTCAACAACTATTAAATAATTAGTTAAATATATTTGTAACATGTTTAAAGCATTTTTAGCTCACCTGTTACGTAGTGACAAGGTGAGCTTTTAGGATCATCTTTTGTCCATCGTCCGTCCGTCCGTCGTCAACTTTTTCTTCAAACGACTTCTCTGAAACTACTGGGCCAAATTTAATAAAACTTGACATGGATGATCCTTGCTTTAAGCTCTACCAAAGTCGTTCAAAGTATTTTATTCCATGTAGAACTCTGGTTGCCATAGAAACTTGAAGGGAGATCTTTAAAAATCTTCTTGTCAAAAACTGAAAGGTCTAGAACTTTGATAGTTGGTGTATAGCATCACCTAGTGGTACTCTACAAAGATTGTTCAAATTATGCCCCTGGGGTCAAAACAGACCCCATCCCAGGGTCACCAGTTTTACATAGACTCCTGTAGGGAAAATCTTAAAAAAGCTTCTTGACAGAAACGGTTAGGCATAGAGCTTTAATATTATGTATGCAGCACCATCTAATGGTCCTCTACCAATGTTGTTCAAATTATGCTCTTAGGGTCAAACCTAGCGTTGACCCGGGGGTCACAAGTAAGTTATATAGGGAAAATCTTAAATTTTGTTAAAAAATCATCTTGACAGAAACCGTAAGGCCTAGGGCTTTGATATTTGGTATGTATCACCTAGTGCTCCCCGCAAAGCTTGTTCAACATTCACTCCCTGGCGGCAAATGCCCCCGCACCTGGGCGGGACCCATTCCTTCACACAACCATCCCCTGTGAGAAACCATAAGCCCCTAGTCTCGTAGCTTTGACTAGTTGGCACGTAATATAACCTAATAGTCCTGTACCAATATTGTTCAAATTATGCCCCTGGGGTCAGTGAAAAAATGATCAAGCCATAGGGGTCACCAGTTTTTGAATTATAGTTAGGTGGAAATTTTTTTCAAAAACCATAAGGCCTAGAGCTTGCATATTTGCCATATTAAATCAGCTAGTGGTCCTTAATGAAGTTTTTCAAATTAAGCCGCCCTGCTGACTCTATTATGCATAGCCTCCACCTCACCAGAGTCCTATATTTACAGTGTAATTCTTCCAAGAACTATCAGCCCGTGAGCGTTCCGCAGCCGGCCTCTCGGGCCCTGCTTGTTTATTAAATCATCCTCTACACTCACTTAATCAATTCTCTCTTTAATGTAAGCGTAATTGATATGCAAGAAAAATAAATTGCTGACTATTTTAATAGTAACTATTAACTAGTATTAGTAGTAATCTTCAACCAAGTTTGTTCAAACCATGATTACTTGCTCTGCTTACTTGAAATAGCAGAGACAGTACTAAATTGAATGACTTTCTTAATATTTCAGTGTACTGATGATGAACTTGAAGACAGCAGTGACTCTGACCTAGAATGTGTCCTAAATATGGATGACAATGAAAGTCAAACAGAGAATGATGAACTAGAAATAATGTATTTTGAAGATGACGACTGACATTTTGTTACACGTCCAAAGAAGATCACCCGATACTTCAACCGGCACGGAGCATCACCAGATGCCACCCCCCTTTGTCACACCCCATGGAGTCGACATTACTGTACCCACCATCTCAATGTCTATTCCCCCGCCCTGGCCTTATATTATTTTAGAAAGTTACAATCTAGCTGGAGATGCTATTCAGCAGCTTCTTGACATTTTTGCTTATGTTCTGCCTGACAGCAACAAAGTATGCAACAGTTTACATGCATATAAATCTTATTTCAATCGTTTAAAAAATCCTCTTCAGTACCATTACTACTGTCCAGTTTGCAAACAATCAGTTGAAAATAAAGAGGTAAAGCAATGTGAAAATCAAAAATGCTTGACAGATTTTTCTGAAAGAGAACTGCCTTATTTTCTCCACGTCCCTGTGATCAATCAGATAAGATCATTTTTCTCACATGCTGGGTTTTATGTATCACTTCAAGGTCGTTTCACTAGACAGACTATGGGTCAACTAAAAGATGTTTATGATGGATATTTGTATCAAAACATGTGTATGAACAATGGTCCACTCAGTGATCCGGAAAATGTGTCGTTTCTTCTGAACACAGATGGTGCCCCAGTTTTCAAAAGTAGTAAATTTTCGATTTGGCCTGTGTTCTTGTCAATAAACGAGCTGGACTTCAAGTTAAGAAATCTTCCACAAAACATGATTTTGTCAGGTCTTTGGTTTGGAGGAGAAAAACCAGAAATGAACACATTCCTTGAACCATTACTTGAAGAGTTCAAGAGGTTTGGAAAAGGTGTTGAGTGCTTTTCACCTGATAAGGGTAAATTCATTTGCAAGGGTTATTTATTAGGTGCAACTGCAGACCTTCCAGCTAGAGCTTTGCTATGTAATTCTGTGCAATTTAATGGATCTTTTGGATGTTGGAAATGCCTTCAAGAAGGTAAAACAGCTGCAAGAGGTCAAGGTCACACACACACATTTCCTTTTAATGCTGAAAACCCAGCAGGGCCGAAAAGAACCACCGAGCAAGCTCTTCGAGATGCAGACTTGTGTCATCATACTGGTAAAAGGGGAGAAAACGCCATCAATCGCGAAATCAAAGGTCTCTTCCTAGGCTCGTCTTCTGTTCCTCAACCATTTGATTCTCTGTTGAAGGATAGCTACTACGACTATCACCTGCATGTGTACCTACTTTGTGTACCAAGCGACTCTCCCTCTAACTTTGTGGTTCTCAACAGACTCCTTTCGAAAAGAAAACTTTTAGTACTTTCATCACCACCTGTATCTACAGTTATAATGGCCTGTCGTACACAACATCATCCCCCCAAACCCTAGATTGTCAGCTACCACGATCAACTTGTACAGGACATAAAAAATATACTGGAAGGGCATCCAGAATTTCAAAATTTCCTGTTATAGCTATGGTTGTATCCATTACTAGAGAGGTGTGATTGATGATGAGCGTTGGCTGCATTACTCACTTCTTGTTTCAGCCATTTTTATACTGCTTCAAGATGGTATAATTGAAAGCAACCTAAAGAAGGCTGAAAAAATGATGGAAGAATTCTGTCGCAGATTTGAAGAGTTGTATGATGTTTGCTTTATGACACTTAACATACACCAACTACTTCATTTGGTTGAAAATGTCAGAAATTTTGGCCCTTTGTATACACACAGTTGCTTTCCATTTGAGGACAAGAATGGAAAATTACTAAAAATGATTAAGGGTACACAAAATGTTGACCAACAAATCATAAAAGGAGTTTCCTTTTTACAGAAACTACCCGAGTTAAGACATAGTTGCATTCCCTCTGGTTCATACATTTCAAGCTTATGTGAATCTATTGAATTTCCTCAGTTATTGAAAAGAGGTGAGCAAATTAAACCTGGCATTTATATACTCGGAGCGCTTTTTTACAGAGAATTAAACCAAGTAGAAGTAAATGCTTACGAGACCTATATTGGCCATGCGTCCATTCCAAGCAAATATAAACTGTTTACACGTATAGAACTTAATGGTCAAACAATTTATGGCACACAATATAAAAGAATGAAAAACAGAGACAATTCAACAATATGTTATAAAGATTCAGATGGATGTGATAACTATGGAAAGGTGTGTTTCTTCCTTTATGAGAGTATATATAAGGAGTTGTTAGCTTTTTTGTCAACACTGAAGCCAGCAGACAATGAATTTAAGGTCCAGCATATTGTACCAGTAATGGCAACTAAAGATATGAAATGTATACTTGTCTCAAATATTAATTTTCTTTGTCTCTCAGTGTCTTTTGATAATAAGATATATGTATGCAAACAGCCAAATACCATGTTAAAAGTTTAGTATTGTATAGTCTTTTTTAATTAGTTTTTTTTTAATTGAATATCATGAAACCTATGTCCTTCTCTTTTAAGGGTTTAATTATGAATATTTTAAATTTTTCAAATGAAATTCTTAACAAACTGTTTCACAGTCTTAAATTTGCACTTATTGCAAATTGTTGCCCTCAATCAGTGTTGTATATAATGTACAGATGCTTCTTTTCGCATTTTTAGCTCGACTTTTCTATGAAAAGGGGAGCTATCCTACTCGCCCCGGCGTCGGCGTTGGCGTCACACCTTGGTTAAGTTTTTCGTACCACCCCACTTTATTTCAGAAGTATTACAAGTATGGCTTTGAAACTTACCATACTTGTTCACCATCATAACCTCCATCTACAGACAAGAGTACATAACTCTGTCAAGGTTTTTGACAGAATTATGGCCCTTTTTTTGACTTAGAAAGTGTATTGAGCTTGGTTAAGTTTTTTGTACCACCTCACTTTATTTCAAAACCATTGGAGGTATTGCTTTGAAACTGACCATACTTGTTTACCATCACGACCCAACCAACAGACAAGAGGACATAACTCTGTCAAGGTTTTTGACAGAATTATGCCCCTTTTTGACTTAGAAAATACATTGAATATGGGTAAAATCCACTTATTGCCTTAACCCTTTGAGATATTGCTTTGAAACTTTTAATGCTATTTCACATCATTACCCCCATCTGTACGCAAGAGAAGGTAACTCTGTCAAGGATTTGTTTTAAAAATTAAGGCCTTTTATCGACTTACAATCTTGGTTAAGTTTTTAGTACCAGTCCACTTTTTGACTGAACTGTTTGAGATATTAATTTGAAAGTTGGAATACTTGTTTACAATCATGATTCCCAAACATGTCAAGGAGAAGGTAATTCTGTCAAAGATTTTATTTGAATTATGGCCCTTAACTGTCAATGTTTTGTATTATAGGCAAGCACTATTTAAGGCTCAACTCAGTTTTTTTTTCTTTCTTACCAGCCCTCTTTTGACTTAAACATTTCAAACTTTGCTGCAGTGTTCAAGGGTATCACACAATTCAGTAAAATAATTCTTCACTAAATATCTTAATGCTCATGGCCATTGTTCACTTTAAAAATACAGAGATTCTTGTATTGCCTTTTACTGCAAAAACTTTTTTTATTGGCAAGCAATAAAAAAGTCGAGCGCGCTGTCTTACGGACAGCTCTTGTTCTATTCTTTAGTCGCATTTTTCTATTCTTTAGTAAGTGTTTAAATGGTCACATTTTTTTTTCTGATGATGTATTTATGTGTACATTTAAAAAAATAGCATTTGCTAACTTTTTATGTTTTTTTATTTGAACCTTTTTTTCATATATATATTGATTAGTTAAAACTTTCAGTAGGTAATTAAACATTTGTTAATTGGTGTTTTAAGAACACTTGAAACTGTTGCCTTTGGTGTCAGTGATATTTTGAACTGTTAACTAAGGTTATAGGCTTTTGAGCAACAGGTTCGACTGATAAACAAACATCCATCTAACAGCATTTTACTGGTTTAAGCATCACAGTGATTATGGGTATTTTTCTAAGATATTGTAATATCTAGAATAATAAGATGTTCCTGTCTACTATTTACATGTATGTATAAATCAGTGCACACCATTGTGATACAAATTGCTATTTTTAATGTCTTATAATTGATACAGCATAATCTGATCTCTTGGGAGTGTCTCAATATTGCTTTTCACTGCTAAATCAGAACATTAAAAAAATGTACTTTGTAGGTATAAAATAAATTAAGTATATTATTTTGTAACTGATTTTGTTTTGCATAGCTGTCTAGTATATACCTCACATCAAAATATTAGGATGAATATTGGTAATTCCTGTCAGTTGTCAGTTGTAACTACTTTGTAGAAAAGTACAAAAATTCTGTATCATACAAAATCTGTCTGCTAAACTAATTCTAAGTTGGAAAATCTGCTGGTTTTTAAAAACTTAAGAATGAAAATTCTATTTGCATAATATTCTGCCCGTAATTTTTTCTGTTTTGGGCAGGACTATGTACAGAATCCATAGTAAATCCTGAACAGACTTCAAGCAAATTCTGTGTCTGTGTATGTTTTGTACAGAATTTTGATATTCTGTATGCAACCTAACCAGACTCTGTATTCATTCTGTACAAAGTATGTGTAAAATTTTCATACAGGCTAAAAACTTTATTCATTTTTGGTACAGTCACCTGGGACTTTTGGCATGTTTTGGAAAATTTTTTTTTTTTTAAATTTTTGGGAAAAAGGTTTTTTGCCCCTTGACTTACAAATTGGGAAAATTTGCAATTTTCCAAAAAGTTGATGCCCCTAGACAAAAGTATTTTTTCCGTCCCTCGGGTTTTTTATTGTCCCCCATAAATTGGGGGTTTCCCCTTTGGCCCAAAAGTCCCTTTATAAATTTTTGGGGGTGGAGGTTTTGTTAAATTAGTAAAATGACCCCTTTTTTTTGAGGTCACTGGTTTGGGGCTTTGACTAAAAACCTTTATTTTAAAAATTTTTCACAGAAAACATTTCTTGCAATGCCTCAGGGTTAAATTTAAACCCCGATTTGCCCGGGTGGTAAGGGGCCCAAAAAGCCCCTGTTGATTTCCTTCCGAGTGGTATGCCCGGGGATTCACGCCAAAGACAGCGGGGGTTTTTAGTTTCATTTTTTAAAATTTTTTCCCCCGGGAAAAAATGTATATTTTAGAAACAATATATTTTTTGTTAAACTATTTTTTTTAAAAAAGCTCCCGCTTTAAAACCTCAGTGGAGTTCCTTTAATTTATATCTAAAATTTTTTTTTCCCAAAAAATTTTGGTATTTTAACAAAATGATGACGGCCCTACCCAGAAAAAAATGAAAACAATTTTTATCAAAATTTTGGTTTTTCCCCCTTTTTAACAACTAAGGAAAAAGGAGGTAAAAAAACCCAAAACAAATTATTTTTTAAAATTTTGAAAAGTCAAAAAGAGTGAGTTGAGCTCTGGTATGAAACTTGTTTGGTTTTTCATTGGTCCTTTCTTCTTTTTTTCCCCAAAAAAAAAACCCTAACATAAAAAGTGAGGAACATGCCCAAAAATCGTCCAAAAATTTCTACACAAAGATATTTAATAAATCCCAAAATTTAAATAAACATGCTTTCCCAACATGCTTTTGCAAAATTTAAACTAATACTTCTTTTTTGTTTTTTTCCCCGGGGAAAGATTTTTTATGGATTTTTGCACATTAAGTTGGGCCCCCCTTCTTCCTTCAAAGTTTGTGGGGAAAAAACTCTCGAGAGTTTTCCCCTGTCGGCATTGTTTTTTTGGGAGAAAATTTTCAAATAAGGGACGAATAAAAAATTTTGTTTTCTGCTTCTGTCCTGTGTACGCCCTTTAGCTTTTCTTTAATTCTTCTACTCCACTTTTTTTCCTAACCCACATGTCTAGATTTTCCCAAATTTTTTAAAACCCAATTTGCTGGAAAAGGGGCCATCAATATGTGAAAAAAGGGGTATTCCCAAAAACCCTCCCCGCACCCATTATTTTTTTTTTATATAAATTTTTTGGGAAGGGGGTTTTAAATTAAAATCAAATGGGTAATTAAATGAATGAGATTTTTTAAAATTCAAAATTGTCTTTGAATGAAAAATCAAAAGTTTAATTTTTCTAAACTGCTTGTTTTTTAAAAGTAATAATACTCAGAAATTTTTCCCTAAATAATCACATGAAAAAAGTCAAAAACCCAAAAAGCCCCATGGGGAAAAATTAAAATCATGCATTAAAAATAAAAGCCCCAGGTGGTGCCCCCTTAGTTTTTTTCTCTTGTTGTGGGGGTGTGAAAAACTTTTGGTAGTATTTTTTTAATAATACCCCCTGGAAATAAATTAAAATTTAATTTTTAATTTATGAAAAGGGGGACATGTATGTGTTTATTGGGGACACATAAACTTGGCCCAAATTTTAAATTGTAGTGATATGTAATTGTACCTTAATTTTTTTAAATAAACATAATATACATTGGTTTCTTTTAGGTTTTTTTTTAGTTAATGTATTTTTTGGCCCACTTCAAAATACTTTTGGCCGTTTAAGTTATGGGTTTAAATTTTAAAGAAAATTAATAAAATTTAACATTTTTTTGAAAGGCTCCCCTTTTTCAAAACGTTTTTAAAAACAGATTGGAAAAATACTTTGATAATTTTCACCCCATAATTAAAACAAAATTTTGGGCAAATTTTATGTGACAAAAAACCCCTGGGTTTTTTTGTTATAATTAAAAATTTTTGGTTTTCTCCTTTTTTACCCATTTCCCCCTTTAAAAATGGAAAAAATTTTCTTATAAAAAACGGAAATTTTTAAAAATTTTAATTTTTGGGGGATTAAAGATTAATTATGATACCTATAAAAGCCATTAATATATGTATTTTATGGGAACAAGGATTTTTTTAAAAACTTTTTCCAAAGTTTTCAACACTTAAAAATTTTTTTTGCCCGATTCCTCCCAAAAAAATTGCCGGGGCAAGTACAAATTCTTTTACGAGGAAGTTTGGGTTTTGGCAGTTGGGAAACTGAAAAGGAAACCCCCCTTTTATACGTTTCTTTTTTATGGGCCAACCCCTGGACAATTGTCCGGGGGTTTGGGGGCTTTATCCCCTGGATTTTCCCCAAACTTTAGGATGGGAAAATCCAAAAGCTTTCGGGCCATGGGTTTAAAAAATGGGCCCCCCTACCCCGCCGGGACCAGGTTATAAGTGAATGGTCTCAATAGAATAGTAAGTTTGGTTTTTCATATATATTTTTTTTCGAAAAATTTTTTCAAATGATAAACCCCACATGTTTCCCTTTTTCGATCGAACAAAAAAAAAAGGAAAAAAAAATGGGAGTGATTTTAAAGGGCGAATAAAGCTAA